CTGACGATCCCCAAACAGGACGAAAAAGCTGTCCAGTGCTCCATATCGGTTATCACAAACATTTCTATCACATGTAAAGTGGAGCATGGGCCTAAAGAGTCTTGTCACGAAATGCACAGTCGACAACTCAGTAACGGGTGCGAACAGGACGTTCGAAGACACCGGTCCACAATGAGGTGAATGCAGTGTTACACAAGTAAATCTTCAAGTGCATGCTTCAATGGATTTAATAGTTGTCGGATGATGAATTCGTCATGTAAATGATGCCTGAGCTGTAAAACTGAGAATCACCGGTCAGCTGTTTCGACCAGGTTGGATCTATTCAGTGGTGCGTTCCTGTGGACCCAACTGAGGATCGCACCCGGGACCTCACAGGTAGAACGCAAGCATACTAACCACCTGGGAAGGATTCAATCTTGACGAGATTGGTGAATAACAGCAAAAAATTTCAACATAGTTTCCTAGTTTCATAAACTGAAGGCAGCAGAGACGGCAAGTAACGAAAATCAAAGCAGTTGTTCAGTGCTTCCCAGCTTTGCAGATTACGCTTCGTCTTTTCTGTATACAAAGAAATTGGTCACAACATGGATACCTGTTGCGAATACTGAACTAAATGCACCATCAACGTTTTGCCGTCAGAATGCGTATCCGTCGAAATTAAGTGAATCCATGCATGCTGCATTCAATAAATAGTTTTCTACGGTACTTGATCGATAGATTAAGGCTTCCCCCATAGACTACATGTGAAACACTATCAACGAGCTTCTCCACTCCTTAAAAAACAATAATGTGTCCGAACACCCCAGTACGTATGAAACCTATCCTACGGTCAGTACTAGAATACTATACGTTCGCGAAGATCACGATGGATTCGGAGACATTTATTAAAGTTTCCATGGTGCATCCCAATTTTCACTCACAAATTGAATTAAAAGCTCATTCGGCAGCAGAAGAACCTTAGGATTTATGGTAGTCACAGAGATTCAGATAATTAATATTTGTCTCCAACAGTTCCCACCTGAATTTAATTTCCAGTGACTGTTTAGCTTCTCGTGAGTAGCTCTCTCTCCTTTACGGTTTCGAGTCAGTTTCCAAGATCAATAAGTTTTATTTATCCACATAAATTTCCATTTTAACTTTGAATGAACTGACCAATTTGTCCTGTAACAGCTTATTCTTTGAAATAGCTAGGTTAGCCCCAACCGTTAAACGTTTCATCGATTGGCTAACGAAGTTTACATCGATTGACAAAGTGTAGCCACTAAGGAATTATTTTCCCTCAATATGCTTTTGTATATTTGTAAAGGAATGTAAATTTACCGTAGATCGAGTAAAGTTGTACAACAGTATAAAAAAAACAATTGGTCCGTGACA